TCTTTGTCATAGCTTCTGTGCTGCCATCTGTGCGAGGAAGCAGTTCGTCATTCCCAGTGATCCTGGACCCCCCCCCCCCAACCTGCATTTCACCCTTCTCCTGCCAAAATCAATTCTCTCCTAAGCATTCACACATACAAAAGAAGGCAACATGTCTACTATGAAGAAAATTTCATAAACGATTAATAATTTCTCTTTATTCTGTATCTCAAAAGTGAATTGTGACTCCATCTGTTTTGAACCACAGGAGGCTGTGGGAAAGGGTCAGTTTAAATATATGCCATGCAGGTTTAAGCACTTAAGCACGTGGCCCTCATTTAAAATAATACCAATCTGTTGAGATACATTATAGTTAGCACCAAAAGATATAGCTATTGTGAGTTTGTGCTTTTCAGTAAGCCAAAAATGATGCATATAGCCATCTGTACTTTGTACATAATGTTTACAGTTTCAAGCTTATGTGTTTATCTGCCTCCTCTGTCTCAATATACCAAATCTAATAATCTGGAAGCCAGCATAAATCTCAGATTCTGAAGGCTGTCTGCCGATGGAATTAGCTACTCTAATTTCTACCAGATGCCAGCAGTGTTAAAAGGCAAGCTGAACTAAGCTGCTTTTCACTGTATGGATGGTAAGCATTATATTCAGATGCCCTTAATTCCTCCCCAGTTGCATTGTCCAGCATTTGCCACTGGCTTTAACTCAGGTTTGATGTACACCACACCAATAGGAAGTACTGGGTATTGGGCTGTGGGTGGAATTGAGATCAGCGGGCATTAGTATGCTGTAAATTCATATTCTCACTAACTATCCTTACCAGCCAAGCCTCTGGATTAAAAATTAATTGAAAATTACTTTAAGGGAATGATAGGATGGGGTGGGATATGAAGGAGATTTCTAGTAGATCTAAACCAGGCTGGAGAACCTTAAATAGAGAATAACAAAAGATAAAGTTTTGATTCATAATGATTTGCCTATTGGTATTCTCCAGGGGTGGTGCTTGATACATGAAATAAAGTGACAAAAATCACAAAGTTAAGAAAATTCTAACGAAACCTGCAGTTCATACCAGCTTAGGAGAATAAAGACATACCAAAGACAACAAAAACACCCTAGAGAGAACAGAAGCAGCAGAATATCACGCTGTAGAAGATACAGCCCAATGCTCCCAAGAAGAAATGTCTCCAAAGTCAGGTCACACTGAATTTCCAGGAAATCAGTGGACCTGAAAGTGACCTAGGAGTAACAGAGAACAGCAAAAGAAACATGGCCATATGAGATAACGCAACAGTAAAACAAAAAACAGCTTTTTTGGCAAAGTGAAACTAGTACTGCTTTCATGGCTTATGGCTGTGTTCCCGGATGTCTTGTAATATGTGAAACCAGTTTAAGTCTTCAGCCAGTTGCATTATTCCTATCTTCTGTTTGCAACGTACATTCTCGATCAACTAGTACGTGCTGAGGCTGTAGTTCAGTAGCACTTTCGATGAGTTTTTTCTTTTCTGTACACTGTCACGTATCTGGTGGGAATTTTCCATTTTTGAAAGCTCTGCCTTGGTGTTCAGTTTGACTTACACTGGTCAAGGAAAGTTATTACTAGGAATAAGAAGGGAAACACAAACATATACACACACACAGAAGAATCAAAGTTAATTTAAAAAAAAAAAAAAAAGTGGTTTTATTTTTAAGGAATCCAGAGGAAAATAGTTTGTCTTCTCTTGGCTTGCTCTCCTTGCCCATGGAAGGATATTTGGCATTTAAATGTTACTGTTGCATACAGATCCATTCTCAAACTGCTGTACATGGAGCTTGATACAGGCATTGAAAGATTATGGCAAGTGCCAGTCCATTTTTCCCTCACTGAAAATAATCTTACAAATATAGAAATGGGAGAAGAAAAAAACACAGGCAAATATTTTAAAGAATGTTTAAATAGGGATATGAATGGAGGTCTTTCCTGAGAGTCAGAAATTCTAAAAAATATTCCTTTTGCAAAAAAAAAAGTTTCAAGTTTCCTCCACGTCCACTGGGGGAGCAGGGGAGTGTAATACTGTTATCTTTTATAGTGCATCGTGAAGGGAGACTTACTTTATGAATGGCTTTGCTGCATTTTAAGATTTTGGAGCAAAAGGCATTCTATTTTAAGCACGGTGTACTTACTGTCACTTGATTTCCATGGCTTGCTTTCCTGACTGACAAGTAAAGCTGCTCCTTTGCTCAAGCAGAGAGAATTTGGAAGTAAAACTGTATCCTGAATACTGAGAAAGTGCTGGAAGGCTGAATAAACTGGGCTTGAAATTTTGTGTTCTCATGTTCTATGTTTTGTGGCTGAATACTTTTTAAAGTAAAACAAATCCTTCAAGCTCAGTGATAAGTTCAGTAGGGAATCTATTTCTTCCTCTACTGATGTTGCTCTTATTTATTACACCACTTACTTTCCCCTCCACTTCTTTTCTGAGTTTATTTTCTTTTTCTTTCCCTCTTGGTATCACAAAATCCTTAAAATAATCTCTCCATAAATACCTGTCGTGGTTTAAACCCAGTCAGGTAATTCGTTCGCTCACTTCCCCCCCTTTCTTGCCCTCCCCCTGCTCCCGGAGGGACAGAGAGGAGAATCGAAAAGAATGCAACTCCCATGGGTTGAGATAAGAACAGTTTAGTAACCAAGGTATAACACAAATCACTACTGCTACCACCAATAATAACAATGATAAAGGAAATAACAAGGGAAGAGAATACACCACCTCACCACCAGCCGACCGATAACTCGGCCCCCCAGCCCGACCAAGCACCGACCGATACCTCCTCCAGCCCTGCAGTCTAACAGCCCTTCCGGGTAACTCAGTTACATCCTGGGCATGACGTGCTGTGGTATGAAATACCTCTTTGGTCAGTTTGGGTCAGGCGTCCTGTCTCTGCTTCCTCCTGGCTTCCCCTCCTCCCTGGCAGAGCATGAGACTCACAAAGTCCTTGGCCAAACCAAAACATCGCTATCAGCTCTGTTCCCAGGCCGAAAGTCAAAACACTGCACTGCACCAGCTACCAAGAAGGAGAAAAATGACTGCTACTGCTGAACCCAGGACAATACCAGTACCATTATGGTCATCAACCACAGTAATGAACAGGGTACTAAAAGAAACAGTGTTAGGCACAACCCAAACCCTGTGATTCCAGTGGACTGGGGATCTGGCTGATTGTGAATCTGTCACATTTCCATTTGTACTCCTCTAGCTGGCTGCTATTGATTACTTCTTTATTATGCTATGTATTACTCCCTCCTTTGCTGGCAGTTCCTCTCTTTCCTGTTTTGGTCCTTAATCCCAATTGCCAATATCATACTGTAATCAGTGGATGAATGACATAGCACTTGGGATACACATACCATGTCAAATGATTCTGAAACCACTCTTTTGCAGATGCCAAGCATTCCTGAACCTTGGAGTAGAGAAACCTACTCAAAAACATATCAGACAAAGAGAATTGGCTCACTTTGAATAATAAGAAATGGGTCTGTCCAGGAAATTGTGCCTGGTCAGAGAGCTGCAGCCTCTGAGGCTCCAATGGAGTAACTTAAATAGGATTTCTGATTCTAAGAAGATGTCATCTGGGTATATAATATGCATTAGAGGTTGTATTTTACATTTTCTACTTCATCTTTCAACCTACGCAGTGCTCATCTTTCCTTGGCTTCATTCAGAAAACATGTAACTTCCTAGAGATACAGGGATACATATGAAGTCCTTCACACGACCAATTCAAATAATTTGATATGCCATGATTTCTGAAAAGGCGTATTTAATTTGATGTGACTTCTCTAAGCACACCAAGGAGGTAAAGCAAGTCCTGAGAAACAGTGGCCAGCTGCTCTGTAACATGTAAGATCTCTATTCCCTGGGCAGCGGGGCTCCTTTGGTGGCAGAGGACCCCTTCCTTGCCTGACACAATGGGGATCCATGCCTGCAGACACAGCTGTGGAGTCCTGCTAACAGCAAGTAAGTCACCTCCTGCCCAAGCCTTGCCTTTATGCTTCACTCCAGCAAAACACTTCACCATCCACCTGCATTATAAAATGTGTGAAAGGAAAATCATAGAAAAGTTTGGGTTGGAAGGGACATTAAAGCTCATCCAGTTACAACCTCCCTACCATGGGCAGGGACACCTTCCACTAGACCAGGTTGCTCCGAGCCCCATCCAACCTGGCCTTGAGCACTGCCAGGGATGGGGCAGCCACAGCTTCTCTGGGCAACCTTTGCCAGTGCCTCACCACCCTCATAGTCAAGAGCTTCTTCCAAATATCTAATTATCTCTGTCATATATATATCTGTCAGTTTAAAGCCATTTGTCCTTGTCCTATCCCTACATGCCCTTGTGAAAAGTCCCTCTCCAGATTTCTTGCAGACCCCTTTAGGCACTGGAAGCTGCTCTAAGGTCTCACCAGAGCCTCTCTTCTCCAGGCTGGACAAGCCCAGCTCTCTCAGCCTATCTTCATAGGAGGGGCGCTCCAGCCCTCTGAGCATCTTCGTGCCCTCCTCTGGAGTCGCTACAACAGCTCAACACCCGTCTTGTGCTTAGGGCCACAGAGCTGAATGCAGTAGTGCTGGTGGGGTCTCACAAGACTGGAGTAGAGGAGAATCACCTCCCTCAACCTGCATCCTTCTGATGGCTTTCTGGGCTGCAAGAGCACACTGATGGCTCATACAGACCTTCTTCGTCTTATAATAAGATGAATAGGGAAAACCACAGCGTAGAGGGGATGTTCCACCCACCCTGCCGATGCCCAGCACCAACGGGAAGCATACAGGGCGGGCCCTCCCGAGGGCAACCCCTCCACGAGGACCACCACCCTCTCAAGCCCGGGCTGCCACAGCCAGCCCCCTGCTGCGGGCAGGCTGGGAGCCGTGCTCCCAGGGCGCAGGAACCCGCGGCTCACGTCAGCCGTCGCGGGGCGGTGGCTCCCCGCTAGCAGAGTCGCCGCTGGGCGTCGGCCTCTTCCGCCTCCCGCCGCAGCCCTCCGCTCAGCCCCGCCCCGAGCGGCGGTGGCGGTCTGACCTCCGAGCCTCCGGCTGCGCGGCGGGGCTGTAGCGGCAGCATGACGGTGCCCTGGGCTCTGCCCGCGCCCCTCAGCCCGGCGCAGCTGAAGCGCCTGGAGCAGCACCGCTACAGCGCGGCCGGGCGCTCGGTGCTGGAGCCGTGGCTGCAGCCGTACTGGGCCTGGCTGGTAGAGCAGGTCCCGCTGGGGCTGGCCCCCAACACCATCACCCTGGGCGGCCTGCTGTTGAACTGCCTGACGGCGCTGCCGCTCATCGCCTGCTGCCCCAGCGCCACCGAGCAGGTACCACCCGCCACGGCCCGCCGCCGCCCCCTCTCCGTTACAGCTTGACCCTTTCCCCCGCCTGCCACGGCCTCGCCTCAGCCTGGCGGCGCTGCCCCGGCCACCGCCCCAGGGGGCCTCCGTCGCCCTTCCCGTCCCGGAGGTCCCGGGAGCGGGTACTGGAGCTCCTCGGTGCGGTGCCGCCAGGGCACCTCCTGGCAGTAGCCGGGGGTACTGGCGGTAATGCGTGGCCCTTCCCAGGGGTGGAACGGCTGAGGTACAGCTGCGGCTTTGCCTTGGGAAATTAGGAGAGGTGAGGCGGAGGCAGGCTTTGGGGTAGCAGGGGTCAAGGTGGATGTGAGCGTTCAGGTTTCAGTGCGAGGAAGGCGAATTGCAGTAGGTTCCTTTCAGCTCCCTGACCAGAAGTCCCCGTGAGGCCAGGGCTGTAGTCGGGCACTTGGCCTGTGCTGTATGTTGTGGAGCGAAGGCATAGCTGGGCTCACCCTGGGGCGTGGGATCCCTGCCTCCTCCAAGGACCATCTTACATCCCACGTGTGTGACATTGCTCAGGCAGCCTGCTGGGAAGGAGGTGAAAGCTGTTAACTCCCTTCTTAGATGGAAGGCTGTAACAGAGGGGCCCTGAAAGTAGAAATGGCTGTTAGCCAGGAGATAGGGTGCGGGGTGTGCCCACGAAAAGGGCAGAGCTGGCCACGGGGCATGGCTGGCATCCCTTCTGCATCGCTTAGTTCAGAATTGAGGTTCAGTGGTGTCGCAGCTGTGTTAGCTGACACTAGATCAAATGCTTCCCCTGCTTGTGTAGGAAACGTTTAATTGCTTTATCTTCTGGAGGGGAAACAGGCTTGTTAACGTGGGCTGATGCTTGAACTCGGTTGCCTACAGTTTCTCTGACAATGTAAGGAGGTCTGTCAGAGCTTTCCAGCCTGTTAGGAGTTCCCCATTGCAGTATCCATGGTAGTTAAGGTGTGAAATGCCAGGGGAAAATTGCTTTGTGTGGGTAAAATATCTTGAAGGGTGGCTGTTGTTTTCTTTGTGTTTGCTATCCTGCCAAGCCACCTTTTCCATTCATGAACAAGTAGTCTTGATTACCTGGTGGACTAACAAGAACTGATTATGTTCTCCTGGTGGAAGTGTAGGAGCACTTGATGGAAGACTCAAATAAAATAACAAGCAGGTTTTGGGCCTCGGTGGTTTTTTTTTATGAGGTGGTTTGTGTTTTTTTTTCTGCTAACCAGTCTTAAGTCCTTTATTGAAAACACTGAAGTGCTGATGTTTGTACAAACCATACAAACCAAGTAAGACTAGTAGCTGAAATCTCTCAGAGATCAGCTGCTAGCAGGTGCTTGGAAAAAGACATCTTCCTTTGATAACCCTTCCTGTTGCCAAAAGACTGGTTTAGGGGTTTCTTAAGAAGGGATTCTACTCGGGTTACTTGCTAGAACAGCAACTGATGGATCTGTTTCCCCACAGACACCTTCCAGCTCATGTTTTTGCCTTTGGAATTATTCAGTTTGAACTTGTTTGTACTTTTCGCTTTCATTATGTCCTATTGCAGCGAATCCCACAGTTCAGTAATACTTACATAGACAGACAATGCAATCAATGTCTAAATCCATGCAATGCTCCTTTATTCTCTTAACGTGTAGCTATTATTTCCTTATACACTATTGCTTTTATCTTCATCAGCATGAGTAGCCAGTTTGTTACTGTCTAGCTATGTTTTGGCTTTATAAAAGATTGTCTTCTTCAGTAATGTCTCCTTGTCTAGTAAGATAAAGGGTTGTACCACGGTCCTCTGTAAATGCACATTTCAACATAAGCCTTCTTGTAGCTAAGCCATTAGCAGACTCCACCCCTAAAGCACTGTTGTAACAAAAATCCACGTGTAGATATTTGTGGAGTGTTTTGTCCAGTTTCTTACTCTTTGTAACTTAGGACAGTAGTCTATAGGAATAATATACAGGACTGCTATACCAGATGTGGTGGTGGGGAGGACACTACCTGCTCATTTCAGCATTTACCACTTCTTTGGGCAACCTGTTCCAATTTGCTGTGTTACAGTGAAAAGGGAGCATTTCTTGGGTGAGGATTTTCACTTTATCACCACTATTTCACAGTAAATCGGTTTTCCTCTACTGCTAACTGACTTCTCTGAAGTAGCTACAGTTAAGTCATTAGGCTTTGCAGGTTAATCTCTTGTACCCCTTCCCATTCTGGGGAAAACTGACATACTAATTTTCCCCTTCCATCAACACTAGGAGGAAAACTGGCTAACCATAATTATTTATCTTTGTAAAAGGGAGAAAGAAAACTCTGATCCTGCTTGCTTATAGAGGGGCCTAGCTTTGGTAATCCTTCAAGCTCAGCCACAGGTCTCTCAAATACCATGGGAAGCTAGAATTTTAGGACAGAAGCTCAAGCTAACAATAATTATTACTTTACATTGAATTTATATATTAAAAAAAGAATCTTGTAGCAGTTACGGCAGGATCTAAGCAAACAGTCCACCTCAAACTGATCAGAGTAGATTTTATCTAGTGATAAAGACTTGTCCTGCTTGCTCTCAGCTTCTTAGGTTCCATCATGTCTGATTTATTTTTTTTTTTTTTTTAACCTTTTGGTTAAAATAACCTCCTGGAGATTACTGGGAGGAAGACACGGAGAAAAGCGTGGACTATGGATTTGCAGTTTGGGCAGTGATGGATTTAGTCTAGGGAGACTAAAAAGTGGGAGAGGGTCTAGGTGACTCTAGCTAGCTCCACTATTAACTGTTTGCAGGGAGAGAAACATTGGTGAGGTGCTCTCTCTGCTTCTCTGTCTCTATTAAAAAAACTTCCTTAAAAAAAACCCAGCAACCCTCTTCTCCCTCCTGAAAAATTCCAAACAAAACCCAAAACCCACCACCTTTTAAACTGAAACATGGATTGTCTTGATTTTTTTTTTTTTTATTTCTTTTTTTATTTTTTCCTGTCACAGGGATAAATGAGGGAAAGGTATTGACAAGGCATGACATTATTTAAGCAGTAAGGTCACAACTGAGCTTTGTGGGAGAGAGGAAAGAGAAGGAGAAAAGAGGGTGAGCTGGAGCAGCTGGTATGAAGTTGAGGCATGGCAATGTGAAGGAATAAGCATTAAACCCCTGACCTGCTGGAGAAGTGTGAAGCACTGAGTGGGGTGGGGAATCCAGCCAATGCCCATGTGTGAAAAATGGAGCACTCTGTGGTGAATGGAAGAAAGAGGTATTTGGCATAAAGACAGGCAACGAAGGTTCAGGAACACCAACACAGAAAGACAGGAGCTCTTTCAGCAGGAGCTTGCTGGGGATGCTAAAGGAATGCAGGGAGTCTCTGGTGTGCATGAAGTGCACTTGGGTATAGTATGATTATTTATTATTTTTACTTTTTCCCTGCCTTCTGTCCCTGCTGTAATGCAGGTTTAAACAGCCCCTTTCTTTCTCCTGTTGTTAATACAATTGTATATAATGCTTTGTGCTGAACAGAAGTGCAAGAAATGATCCACATTCTGGGGGGAGAGGGAGGGAGTCCAGTAAAAAGTCTGCCTCACTTCTGGATCTGTTCCAGAGAAGGGATGAATTTAGTAGCTGTGGATTGAGGAAGCAAGTTTATTACTAAATGTGATGAGTAATTAAGGGGAGCTGAATCTTTAAATATTGCAAAAGCTTGGGCCAGTGAACTATCTGGGCTTGAGAGCTTTACTTGAAAAAAAGGTAAGGGATCTCCCAGGTACAAGTAGTCTTTTGCAGCTGTCCATGCTCTTTGGTGGGGTGGAATCATAGGAGCAGAAGAATAAGGATGGCTGTTAAACCTATACTTTTTCCTGAAGGAACAGTGTGCCTTGCATACCTGTCAGACACTGTGCCCACGTGGTTTTATTTCGACACCCTCTGGTTCAGTAGATGGCCAGACCTGCTGTACCAAATCTGTGTGTGACAAGATTTTGGAGCTGTATCATCTTTCAGACATTCTTCTTAACTGAGGGAGAGAAGCATCCCCCTTCCTTCCCCGAGGTTTGTGTTCTCTTCTAGTTCCATGAGAATAGCATCTAGTTCTGGCCAAAATACATTTGCTTGGACAGGATATAACTTTGAGCAGAGATAATAAACACCTCATCAGTGAAAAGCTGATGATTACTGGGAGCCTCCTGACCTTTCTGCTGCATCTGCCAGCCATGTCAGCATTCTCAAACGCTCCCACTTCTCTAATTTGCAAACTACTTGGGTCCAGCGTGGGAAGCCAGCAGGGGACATCCCGGGAAGGAGAGCCAGGCACATCAGAAGGCAGAGAAGATGGCAGCTGTAACTGTGTTGAGAGGGCGGGTAGCAGAGAGAGTCCGTGGTTACTGGGAAATTTGGAAACCTCTGTGCACCTTCTGTGATTTGGAAAACTGTATTTTATTGATTAAAAGTGTATTCATTTAATCTGCTGAAAGCATAGTTGATCACAAATGGCCTTTGATTATTAGCACTTTGGGTTAAGTTTGAACTGGAAGCATAGGGATGAAGTGCTCCAGATGGTTATTTCTAAGCTCTCTCAGACACCTGTTCCCTTATTCTTACTAGGATATTCATCCCTTCCCCACAGCTGTGGTAAGGGATGTGATAAGATCTAACAGGGGATATAGATACATCCATTACAGGTGTTAATGAGTACAGATGATCCTTACTGGGAAGAGGATGAAAACTCTCCTCTCCTTTCCAGATCATCCAGGAGCAGAGCACTTTTTGTTCTGGCATCTGGGGACACTGTTTTGATTTGTCCCAGCAGGAGCTAATGCAAACAGACCTGGATCAGCAGCCCTAATGATTGTACCTACACTGTAACTTGCAACTTGACAAAAGCCATTACTTTTTCAGGAAAACCTAATAAGAGAAGTTTGAGTTGAAACTGATTTATTTATTTTTATGTTTAACCATGTTACACCTGTTTTGACAACGTAGATGATGTTATCTTGAGCAAGAATTCTTGCATCATGTTCTGTGGGTCATGGAAACTTTCATGAACTGATTACGGTAACCAGCCTGCAAGCCTTCTCTTTTAGTTAGAATTGAGGCTGTTTCATGGAGCTTGCATGTCAAAAGACTGTGATAATACCAAGCATACAGCACTACAGTTAATGATAAAAAAAATGTGCCATAACAGGTTTCTGTTCCTGGCTGGTGTTTCAGTTATAGAAATGATCCAGTTAAATAGGAAACTGTCCACACTGGCATTTAATTTATTGGTGATGTGCCCCATACTGTGGGGATGTGTGTGAATTCAGACTGGGTAAGGAATTTGGCTAGCACAGTTAGCACTGGATGTAGTCTACTTTTGTCGGTGATAAGGAGAACCTGATGACTTTAAAGCACTAAAATCTATTTCAGTTATAGGCAGAGGGTTGCAAAAGAAGATGAGCCTAATGCAGCCAAAGAAACAGTGGTGTCCTGGACAGAGCTGCCAGGTGTGTCCTGGTTTGATTGTCAAAAATCCAAGGGTTAGATGGCAAGTTTTGATAGTTCTTGAGCTGTCTTTTTTTTTGTAACCAGTAGAAGCATACCACAGTGAGAACGCCTTGTAAAACACTGCAGGTTATATTTGTGGCACTTCACAGGAACATTGGTGATGAAATTGGAAATGTCTTTACAATACTACTTCAAATGACTACAGTGAAACCAGTGGTTTCTTCCAGCCTTTCTGCTCATAATGCTTTATTCCTAGGTCTGTGTCAGGAGCTGCCTTGCTTGACAATATCAGTAATATCTGTTACTCTGTATGCAACAAAGTTACTCTGCAAAAGCTGGTATAGATACTGTGACTTCAGTGTGTGGATTGTGTCATAAGTAAAATGAGCTTAGCTTCAACAGGGTCCTAACTGTGCTTTTATGCCCTGAAATACCTGAGCAGTGGCTGCCAGCCCTCTGTTTCAGAAAGGTGGAGAGGGAGAACAGGGGCCAATGGGTAGCTGCTGCCTCCCTGCACAATGTCTGATCAAGTGAGTTTACACCAGGAGAGGCACTTGAGTATCTGTTCCTCCACATGGCTCTTCGTGATCCATGAATCATGGATGGCAGTAGGCTCCTTGTTGTCCACAGGCTCTGTCCTTCCCCCTCCATCAGAGGAGAGAAACGTTTTCAAAAGACTTACTTCCTTGTTTAACTCCATCCCCCAACACAAGATCCCTTTGTTTAACTGGATTAAAAGGGAGAAGAAAGCTAAATAACTTGTCTAATTCCCCTGGTAAACATGAAGCACTCATTGCTGTCATCAATGGAGCTGGATTTCTAAAGGGTGGTCTTTGGAGGGGGATTATCAGATACTGGTATGTTAAGTGTATATTGGAATGAGAATATCCACACATCCTGTTTCATCTGCTCAAGGCTTCCAACATGATCTGTGATTAAAATTTTTCTTAGTTCTTTGGATTATGGGGAAAGATGGCCTTGCCAATTTTGAAGAATTTCTGGAGTTTTCTAGATTTCTATGTACATAAAAATCCAGACTTCTCACCTATAGCTGACATCCCTAATTCTTTGACTTGCTTTTGCTTCAAAGCTGGGTGAAGCAGCCAACCCTTTGACTTTAAATGGTGGTGTGTTTCATTAATGAAATTAACCAAATACTGGGTAGCAGGAAAATCATAAATTTTCTGGCAATATTGCTTCCATATTAAAAGCACAAAACTACGTGATAGCACATTGTATCAGACAGCCTTGAATCCTCGAGGAAGTCTTAGATAACAACAAAAAACCTGTTCAGAACTGAAGCTCCCTTAAGCATGCTGGGTCTTGGAAAGAATGTGTTTTGTGATCAGTCTAACTGGAAGAATAACGAAGCAATGAGTATAACTATGATGAGAAAACAGAACATGTGGAGGAGCAGCTCACTTCATCTCCATTCTCACCACTGCCTTCTCCTGTCCCTGCCTAGGAACTGATTGGCAACTTTTTCTCCAGCAGTGACACTGGGTTTATATGAGTGTGAAAAAATCTCAGCTCACTGAGATTTCATCTGTTGTCTTAATCTGGTTAATAGCCTTTGCTGGACTTAGGAAATACACGTAATCATGTTGGTCTGTTTGTGCTGCAGGAGAGGAATTGCAGGCGGGCAGAACCACAGCAGCTGGCCCTTACCTGGGAGCTGGAAAGGATTCAGCTCTGCAACTGCCTGTGACTGTTCACTTGTTTAACCTGCAAGCTGCATTTCCAGCACCTAACTTTGACTCTCTTTTCATGAACAGTGCTTCTAACTGTTAAGATGGAAACTACTTGAGGCCAAACAAGTTATCTGTAACTTTTTGTTCAAAAAGTGTTACAAGTAATTGTTAGTAAAAACTAATTCCTAGACAGGACGTACTGACTGTGCATATGAAAATAATGCTTTTGGAAGATAACACTGTAGGACAGTTCCTTTGAACCTAAGCCTCGTGCTAAGGTAACTGATTCACATCTTGTTTTGAAACTCTTATGGCCTATATTAAGTAGATAGTTGCTCCTTCATATTTAGTCAATGACTTAATTTCTTCAAACTTTTGTCCAAAGTGCCTGTGTAGTGAATTTTGGTATGTTGGAAAAATCTCTTTCTCTAAAAAGTTGAAGTCATTATTTAGTAAAATGTAATGGGTTTTTATATTCATATGTTGAAAACCTGAGCACCCATCTAGCCTCTATCACATAAACTGCTGAGAACTTTAGTAAGTGCCTGGGTACAACTTTTGTTTTTAAAGATTAATTTTATTCTCGTAACATTTTTCAGCACAAAGAATACAAATACAGAAATACTGTGGTTTTAAGGTGAAAAATAAGTCAGTTGATACAGAAGAGAGATTAGGTTTTGGTCTTTTTGTTTGGGTTTTGGGGGGGAGGGGGGTGTCTGTTAGTTTTTTTAATAGAAGGACCTGTGTTCCACTGGTGTTATCTGGGGTAGTTCATTAAAAGTAGGTACTACAATTCATGTAGACTAGTGCAAGGAATTTGGTTTGTTCATTAACTAAGTCACAAATAGCACAATGTAGTATAGTTTAGAACAATATTTTCTATCTATTAATAAAATAGATTATCAGCTAAGAAATGGGAACTGCCTAGTGACCTTTTGTGCGACTCTCTTTCAGGCACCTTTTTGGGCATACATTCTGGGTGCATTAGGACTTTTTATCTACCAGTCTCTGGATGCCATAGATGGGAAGCAAGCCAGAAGAACGAACAGTAGTTCTCCTCTAGGAGAGCTCTTTGATCATGGTTGCGACTCTATTTCCACAGGTAGCCTTAACCTACTGTTGTTACCCATTCTAGCTTTAAAAAACTTAATGTTTTTCAAGAATAGCTGATTAATCACAGAATTGCTTAGAGTTGGAAAGGACCTCTGGAGATCATCTAGTCCAATCCCCTGCTCAGAGCAGGGTCAGCACGTTCCCTTCTTTTAGGATAACCTCATCTCCTGGTGTTGCAGTCAAGGCTGCCCCTGACCTTTGAATCCCTGACCACTATCAGGGAAGATATTTCAGAAGTACATTTGGCAGATGTTGGGTAATGTGTTCTGCTCTTAACTTACTGTGCATCTTCATATACAGTGTTCTTACAGTGAGCTAGATGGTAAACAAAGAATTCGGTGAGAGCATGTTTAGAGATTCTTTACTATAGGTAGCCTGTGTTTTCCAATAGAGTACAGGTGATGCCTAATAAAGGATTTTAAGGACCTAAAAGACTGATGCTGACATGTGAAACTAAGGCTTCTGCTTTAGGAGTGAGGTGCCAAAATAAGTTTGGTAACAGGGCATCCAGCCTGGCACATAAGAGAAGGATAATTTATACTCCTTAGTGTTGGAGTCCTTAAAAAGTAAGCTTTGGTCAGTTTTGCTTTCTGTAACTTAGCTGCTGTTGGTGGCAATGCCTGTACTTTAAGCTTAAGAGCTGAAACATTTGCCCAGGGAGCTGGAACACTGCCCAGAGAAGTGCAGCTACCACTGAGCTGGACCTTTCCCTTGAAGCTGTCAATGTTGCAAAGAACAGGCTTTGACAAGGCCAGCAGAAGGGAGAGTGACCACTGTAGGCTTGGAAGACGGGGAGTGCTATGTTTAGGTCTGTCCTGCCAGGACTGTCCTTGAGGTTAGTTACACAGTGAAGTATCAGTGATATCATTACTTTGTTAAAGTGATATAAAATGCCTTGTGATTTTTTTTTTTTTATTTCTCTTAACTACAAGCAAAGAGGGTATATGACTAACATGTTCATTTCTGCTTTTCAGTTTTTGTTGTCCTTGGATCCTGCATAGCAATCCGACTAGGAACAAATCCTGACTGGTTGTTTTTCTGTTGTTTTGTGGGACTGTTCATGTTCTATACTGCTCACTGGCAGACATATGTATCAGGCATACTAAGATTTGGAAAGTAAGTAGGTATCTTCAGAAGTATGTGTGGCTTAATGTCTGAGACTGCTAGCTACTTGATTTCCTTTTCTTCTTGTTTTTTGACTTGCTGTCTTCCTCTTGCCTCCTTTTTCATGTCCCTCCCACCCAGCAGAATTGTGTTTTACTTGGCAAGAACTTTAAAACCCTGCATAACACTGAGTAGAGGAATTGTTCTTTTAGCAGTTGATTTCAGCTCTATGTGCTTGTTTGCATGTGTTTGGCTGTTTTGTCTGCAGATTTATTCTTAGAATCCATAGAAGCAAGCGCCATGCAGGCTTGGGCCAGAGAGATCTTGCCTGCAGTGTAAGCAAGTGCTCTGTGTAGGAGTAGGGACAGAGCAAGTATCCACAGTACCTCCCTTTGTAACTTCCCAGCCACAGAACAGTTTCAGCCCAGGGGACTCTGAACCACATGCATTTTGAGAGAAATTCCCTTGCCAGTAGGTTTCCCTTCCATAGACATCTCCAGACTTCCTTCAAATAACACTCTCTATCCATGGCATCCTTTGGCAAGGAGCTCCTCAGATCTATGGCAGTGGTTGAACAGTTAGAATCATAGAATCATAGAATAATTAGGGGTGGAAAGGACCTTAAGATCATCTAGTTCCAACCCCCCTGCCGTGGGCAGGGACACCTTACGCTAAATCATATCACCCAAGGTCTCGTCCAACCTGGTCTTGAACACTGCCAGGGATGGAGCATTCACAACCTCCCTGGGCAACCCATTCCAGTGCCTCACCACCCTAACAGGAAAGAATTTCCTTCTTATATCCAATATAAACTTCCCCTGTTTAAGTTTGAACCCGTTACCCCTTGTCCTATCACTACAGTCTCTAATGAAAAGTCCCTCCCCAGCATCCCTATAGGCCCCTTTCAGATATTGGAAGGCTGCTGTGAGGTCTCCACGCAGCCTTCTCTTCTCCAGGCTGAACAGCCCCAGCTTTCTCAGCCTGTCTTCATACAGGAGGTGCTCCAGTCCCCTGATCATCCTCGTGCCCCTCCTCTGGACTTGTTCCAACAGTTCCATGTCCTTTTTATGTTGGGGGCACCAGAACTGTATACAACACTCCAGGTGAGGTCTCACGAGAGCAGAGTAGAGGGGCAGGATCACCTCCTTCGACCTGCTGGTCACGCTCCTTTTATTACAGGTTTATTGTCCCAGGTTTATGTGGAGGCTTTGTTTTTGATCTGGCTCATACTGGCTTTGATGTCCTTTAGGTTTTGTGTTAGGTCACAGTTCTAGAGATTGCTGTTCATGACCTGGTAGAAATTTCATCTGCCCTCACTACAGTGTAGGAGGAGGAGTCATGACATTCATGTAGAAGAAAACAATTTCAGTTTAATTTCAGTAGCTCAGCATGGAGGTTGCTTACCCTCCTGCAGCTGTGGTGATGCCTAGCTGTGCCTTTTTGCTGCTTTTGAACAATAACCTGTGCTCCAGTAAAGATTTCTGAAAAGAAGAAATGATCGGAGACTTCTGCAGCAGCAGAGGGATAGATGAAGGCTGTCCTTCTGCTAATCCTGGTCATTTGTTACGTCACCTGCTTATTATAGTCCTACTTAGCTCTGACCTGCAAAAAGCACCTTAGCAAATCTGAGCATCGCTGGGCACACAGCCTTGTGATGGTCTGTCCTTGCATGCTGTTCAATATCTGTATCAAAAGAAAGCAGCCTCTGTGGTAACACTAAGAGCTCTGTTTTATTTGCTGATAGTACATTTTACCACAGAAACTATAAGTCTTCTACCTGCCCACCCATCCTGCTTTTATTAAAGGACATCTTGTGCTGTAAACAAAAATAGATGCTTTAGAATGATGGCTGAAATACGAGAATTTCTGTACATGACTGGACTACACTGAAGGGAGATGGTTTGTGTCATGAGCTCTGAGACTCTTCATACATGGTAGCTTTACTGTGCCTTCCTTTCTTGCATGAAATGCGAGAATGACCCCCTTACATCAGGAAGGTGCTGACACTCCCATACCACAGAAAAAATTCTTCCTTAAAAACTTAACAACTTCTATGTAAATATAGTGATAGTGCATAGTACAAGCAGTTTGGAATGGCCTGGTGTTCCGTGCTTACTGTTTGAAGTTAAACAGACACAGCTTTTTCTCCAAGATAACTTATTTCTGTTTAGTGGAAATAGGTCAGTGTTTTTTCAAGGCTTGCAATTTTATTTCTTTTAAGCATAGAGGTGAGAGTCTTAAGTGAAGGCATTAGTATGTTGCTCTAAATACGATGATACAGAATAACATGGATGGAAGCTTTCACTGATGCTGATCCTGAATTAGCAACAACAGATTTTTAGAAGTCAAGTGATGGATGAGAGAGTCCTAGTGCTGATGGCCAGGAAGGATCAGAGCAGCTGGGTACTCTCAGATTATGCAGAATACCTCATAGAGTCTGATTAAAATCTCTGTACTCTGATCTGGGCTGTGTTGCAACCAACAGTCTGAGCCTCTGTAAAAGTATCATAGAATCACAGAATCATATAATAGTTTTGGTCAGAACAGTTTGGGTCGGAAGAGACTTTAAAGCTCATCCAGTTCAAACCCCTGGCATGGGCAGGGACACCTTCTGCTAGACCAGGTTGCTCCAAGCCCCGTGCAACCTGGCCTTGAACACTGCCAGGGATGGGGCAGCCACAGCTTCTCTGGGCAACCTGTGCCAGTGTCCCACCACCCTCATAGTGGTGAATTCACCCTCAGAGTAAAGAATTTGTTCCTAATACTTAATCAAAATCTGCCCTCGTTCAGTTTAAATCCATCTCCCCTTGTCTCTCATCCCTACATGCCCTTGTGAAAAGTCCCTCTCCAGCCTTTCTTGTAGGCCCTTTTTGGTATTAAACTTTGGTATGAATGATTCAAGTTGAAGTTTGAGCCTCCTCCCACTACCAGCAACAGCAAATGCAGTACAGCTTAGAGCTCTAAGTTTTACTAGTACAGAACACAACCTCTGAACACTTGCACCTACATATGGATGCTTTTGTATGATGTAACTGACAGGCTTAATGTGCAGCCGCTGCAGTGCCTGTGCAGTTCTAACACCTCATCCCTGGCAGAAAGGGAGAAGCCCACTCTCAGCACCACTGTCCCATTCCATCCCTGCATAGTCTTTGGCACTTGACCCCAAGTTGGTTCATGATATGGGCAGAAGATGAAAACACAACCCAAGGCTAGCAAGCTGAACTGATGCACCTTATATTCTGAAGAGCACTGCAGCTACCACAAGTGAGGGAGCGCAGAGGTGTGGGAAGGAGAGGACGACCCATTGACAGGGTTTTGAGCAGTGATGAGCACTCCAGCTTATCATCTAGTTGAAGCTTAAACTTTGGCTCTTCTAAGACTGAGCCTGAAGCTTGTGATGAAATGTTGCTGTGATTATGAAGATCAGATTAATGTTTTCCATTAACCAAGAGCTGATTCCTATTTCTCTTTAAAAATACACCATTTCCCGTGCAAACAGATCATGTGTTAAGCAAATAACAGTACACATTGACTTTGGTCATAATACCTTAAGCCAGAAAATTTATTCTAATTACTTGAAGAAAAGTTGCATTTTAAACATCAGTTGTTACTGGGTGCTGCTAACTTCAGTAGAAAGATGAGGTATCTGTCTCAAAAACTTTGAGAGCATAAAAGGTACCTTAGATGTGCGTATCTTTTTATTTTATTTATTTTAAAGCTTTATTGAAAGTATCAAGGTTTTTTTCGCTCAAGCTTCTGCTTAACTTTTTTTTCTATATTCAGGTCTTCCCAAAACATTTCATCAATCAAATATAGTAATAAGGAACTGGCTTTCTTGTCTGAGAACAAAAAAGGTGGAATTCAGAGTGTAGACTTTAGAGGGCATACAAGGCCACCTATGTTAAAAATGTTTTTATGGAAATAAACAAGATCTCAATCCCACATCCTCTAAAACAGGACAGATGCTCAGCTACCCGCAGCCTCAGTCCTCAAAATACTGCCCTCGCGTTTTGCAGGCTCTTATCTAGCAAGTTATCATGATATGAGAGCTTAAAAAAATCCCTTTTGCCCCTGTGTGCTCTTTACAGTCCATACTTCTATATGATACGCTTTTAATGGAAATGTCTGATTGCATTTACTGTGAGCTTGCCTTAAATTTTGATGTCATACTTGCACATCAACAAGTCTGTAAATATATATGGAAATTCTCAGTTAACAATGTATTCATTAAAGATTTTCCCCCTATTAAAAGTGTATGTGGCTTGCTCTAGGTAAAGGGTATAGATTTAATTTTAAATCTAAACCAGAGATGTGTGCTTCTCTATAGAGGAGCTTTCTCAGTCAAGGAAAATCATGTGTTACATACAGACTGATGTAATCTGAAGTACTTTAAAGGAGATGATAATTTAAAGTCACTTTTTTTATTACCCCCCCCCACACACACACACACACTGCCTTACTTGCAGCAAAAAGACCTTTTATTTAACTAAATGTCTCTTTTTATTCCTTCCTAGAATTGATGTAACTGAAGTTCAGATAGCCATAACAATGCTGCTCTTGACATCTGCATATGCTGGAACAGCAATATGGGACTCTAAGGTGAGTTCATTAAGTATTCAGAGTTCCTGTTGAGTGTTCACAGTTCCTGTGGTATTTGAAGCTATCCTGTGTGAGTACCCTCAACACCTACTAGTTGTCTAATGTTCTGTTTCAGCTTATGTTACACTTGGTTATTCTTATGTTGTAGTTAACTTGGATATAATGGTGTGACTTCCTATGCACAAATTTAGAACTGCATAGAGGAAAAAAGACTCCATCTGCCACATGCAAACTTCTGATTTGGAACTAGTACTCTGCAGATACTTAAGCTTTAACAACTGGGTTTTGTTCTAGTTTTATTTCTTTTGTTTGTGACATACATTTCTGTTTACTTAAATGATTTATAGGATGCTTTGTTTTAAATTTGAAGATAAAATGCTTTAATCCAACAAAATCATGGGATGAAGTTAAGGGGTTTTTGATTAACTAATCCATATTTACCTGCTGTTGGAAATGTACTGATTTTTAACAGTTATGTCACAGCTGACATAAATGTAAATATCTATATTTAAAGAATTTACTTCTGTCCAAAAGCATCTCCCTCTCTCTGGCTTTTATTCTTCTCTTTAAAGGTGACTAGTGGACAGCATCAAAAGTACATCAGACTGATATCTTCATTCTTTCTAGGGTCTTTACTCAGAAACGTCTAGTTCTGCTTGGTCATAGTGCATGGAGGAGCTGAGACCATTCCATGCTATTGATAACCAGTGCAAATTAACCTAAATATAAACCACCAAGTAATTCAAATTAATTCATGAGTTTACTCAGCAATTTTGTTTCCTTTTCTCATCCTGCAAGAGGCTTTTGTTCTGTTTTCAAACAACTTATTTTCATGTTGGAAAACAAAGTAGGCAAATCAGACTCTAATGATGTTTGGTTTTAAAAGCTGTGGTAGTTATGCTGTATCTCAAAACAATCTATTAAAAAATATAGTCAATGGTTTCAATTTATTACTACTTTTTTTTTTTTTTTTTTTTTTAATCCTCTGCTGCCTTTGGAAGTTTCCTTGAAACTGCAATTGATTCTGAAAGGTAACTGCTTAATTAAGATTTCTATCTGGAGACTGTTCTGAATGCAAAGATACAGCATACAAAGAACATGTACCAAAACACAAAGAAGGCAGATGGTGTTTGTGTTTCCTGCGGTTCAATGTTGTGTTACCCTGTGAAACAGAAGGAACTGTCCTTCTACCGCTTCCCATGTCTCGCAGTGCTGTAGTTTGTCATGTTTTTGCTTACGTAGTAAAAATATTTGAAGACGTTGTAAGGACAAACAGTCCTTAAGATCTAGCAGTAAGATCTAGCTGGATTTTCAAGACCAGAACTGAAGTACTCAAAAGTTAACATTACGAAAGAAATTTGTTGTCTCCTTAGTAAGGAAACAAATTCCAAACACTGTCCCTCTGAGCAAGAATTCTAATAAAACAATTGTTTAGTAGGTATCAGGAGGTTTTTTAATCACTTCTTAAAAAAGGTGTTACCCTTAATATTTTTCTCTTGTTTTTCTTGCTAAGGTCCCTTTGGTGGGCTTAGAATTGAAGTTCCTTGCAGTTTTTGGCATATTATGTGGAACAGCACTTTCTTCATTCAGTTACTTCCGTGTCATCTTTGGTGGAGGAATTGGAAAGAATGGATCTACAATAGCAGTAAGTTGCTTTAAAGATCCGAATGCAGTTTGAATAATATATGCCCATAATTTATTGCATTTTGTATCATCATAAGGGTTTTATTTATTTAAGTATTTAAGCAGACAAGCATATGAGTGTTGGATGTCATTATCTACCTTCTGTCTACACATTACCAGATTTCTTCTGTTGCAGGAACCAGCAATGAATTTTCTTAGAAAATTGATTATTGGTCACTGCAAAGGATACTAATAGTGTTGGTCAAGGGCTTTCCCTGAGCTTTGACTACTCTGGTTTTGTTTAATAGGATTTACAGTACATGTAAAATGTGGACCTTACTGTGTGACTGAAGCCTCAGAATGGAAATTTTCTTTCAATTTCTATTTCAGGGAACAAGTGTTCTTTCACCAGGCCTGCACATTGGACTACTTCTCACGCTGGCCGTTATGATCTATAAAAAGTCTACAACTCAGCTATTTGAAAAACATTCTTGCCTGTATGTCTTGACATTTGGGTTTGTGAATGCCAAAATCTCACAGAAGCTGGTGGTAAGGAATCTCACTTTGGTCCTAAACCTCCTAAAACTAAACTGGTTCTTGGCTTAATGTTTACTGGGTCAGTGGGTGCCGTGAAAGTTTTCCCATTCTGCTCTGATGCTGTATTACCAGCTTCATTATGACCAAGACACTGAACTAGGTTCAGGCTCCTTCAGAGAGATTATATATGACGTTGATGCAAACACATACTTATTGAGTGTTTTGGTTACAGCTTTCAGTTTTAACCTACTCCTAGAAATACGCTGTTTTTAACATCATAACTCTGGTCCTTCAAGCCCTACTAACAGTGCTGTGGCTTCTGGTTTAGTTACCTGAAACAGGAATTTACCTTAATCATTAAAATGAAGAGATAAACTGTTTATCTCTTTTGTAATTAAAAAACTCATCAATGGATGAAAAAAAAGATCGGCTTTATTGCATATTTTTTATTTGTGAAGATCATCATAGAGCTCAACCTGGCCTTCCAGGGATGGGGCAGTCACAACTTCTCTGGGCAGTCTGTGCCAGTGCCTTACCAGGATACAGTTGGTTTCTAGGCTGCAGGCATACACTGCTGAGTCATGTTGAGCTTCTCATCAATCCACACCCCCAAGTCCTTCTCCACAGGTCTGCTCTCAATCAGTTCTCTTCCGAGCCTGTGGTTGTGCTTGGGATTGCCCCGACCCAGGTGCAGGACCTTGCTCTTGGCCTTGTTGAACTTCATGAGGTGTGCAGCTGCCCACCTCTCAAGCCTGTTGAGGTTGCTCTGGATCCTATATAATAAAGTCCCTATATAATAAAGCCAGCAAATACCAGCTGATAATTCAGACAGTGGTTACCACTGGTTAAAGTGCTTGATATTGATTGAATAACCTGGAAAGAAACTGTTACAGAGCATCAGCCCCTGAAGCATTTGTGAAGCCCTTGGCGTGCCTGCTGACTGCCTCTTAAGAACAGTGGATAGCAGGCTGTGGCTGGGCAAGGGCATCATGCCAGTTTGCTAGTAGTTAAACTCATCTTGCAGTGATGCCTTTTTGTGTCTCTTTTCTTTTACATAGGTGGCTTACATGACAAAAAGTAAAATCTGTCTTCAGGACACTGCATATATTGGGCCAGGACTTCTAGTTTTGGATCAGTACTTCAATAGTTTCATTGATGAATATATTGTTCTATGGATAGCATTGGTAAGCATTTTGGTTTGTACTTTTCATTTGGCACATACTGAAAGGAATGGATTGAGAACTGTCTCTGCCATTTCTGACTTGCTCAGATCTCAGCTTTTGCTGCAGCAGGACTGGCAGGGTACCATGTAAACATGTACCTTGGGAGCTGACTGGCTTCCTTGGAACAGAGATGTGAAAGTAAATCTACAGACGTATCTTGTAATTATGCTTTAGTCCAGGTGGTTTCTTTAAAGTTATTCTGCAAACTGCAAACTAAACTTTATCAAACAGCACTTTGTTTAGTGCTGGGGTTTTGGGGCTTCATTTTTTTCTTCTAAACCACCCTGTATCTTTATGTTAAAATGCTGTTAAACTTGTCATTTGGATAGATTCTGATTATGGTACAGATGAATTTATAGTAGGGACAATTTTAAGAAATAATTAGATTTATTTTTTTTAACCTGTTCTGTTTTGTTCTTTTGAAGTTCATATCCTTGTTTGATATGCTGAGATATGCCACTGGTGTATGCCTACAGATTGCTGCTCATCTTCATATACATGTCTTCCGAATTTCATCTCATCAAGCTCCTGAACAGGTTCAAAACCATAATGACTGATTAAATAGGTCAAGAACAAAAGAAGAAGCAGTTAGGGGAATGCTGAATGAAGCAGCCTGTCTTTTTTGGGGGGAAGAGATTAAGCTTTTTAAGAAAACAGTTTTATGAGAAAGTTCACTCTATCCTAGACATTATCAGGTGTTAGAGTTACGAAGTACAAAGTCCTGCAGATTCTGTTGTGATTGTTACTTTTGAACCAGGATGTATTTTTCCCCCGTGTTTTAGAGCATGAATACTGCATTTGAAACTTTTGCCATTTCCTGTTAGGTAACCTTAATTTTGTACTTCTGGTCTGGTGAATGCAGGCTGCAAACCCAGGTGCTACGAACCAGAATTCCAAGAGGAATTTAACTTTTCCCTAATCTTCTATTGTTAGTTTTTAAAGTCTTCTTGGAACTGCTGTGAAGTGGTAGTCATGTATCAGTGAATACTGTACTGCATTATTAAGACTGGTAAAATGAGGTATATGTGAGGTAAAACTACTCATTAATCTCTGTTCCAGTATTTCTAAAGAAAAAGCTACTGGATCAGTACGATGAAGGAGGTATAGCTCAGGAAAATTTTCTTCTATGTCAAAATACTATGAAGTACTATGAAGTTGTGAGTGCCTTTAGGATCATGGATTCTCTAGTATCTAAGTACGTAACCTACATGACTAAATACAATTTTAGCTTGTGTTTTCTTTCAAGGCCAGTTTCTGGTTTTGTGGTCCCAGTAAGGTTTGCCTCATTGTACTCCATCATTATCTAGACTATAGGTAGTTGTGTACTCTGGGGGCACTTACTTTACCTACCTTAACATGCATCTGAAACTATACAAGTGAATGACCAAGTTCATTTATAAATGACTGTGACAATGCAGCCCATCCATACGTAACTCCCTCTGAAGTATATTTGCTATTGCTGTGTTCATCTATCTTATAATCTGTTCTGTAGCTGTCACTGTACATTATCCAAACAAAATTGCACTGAGCTAAAACCAAATGTATAGTAAAAATCTCCAAAACAGGAATTCAGGCCCAATATCAGCCTTTCCCTTTCCGTAAGAACAGACTGACTGGCTAACATAATGTACCTAGCTAAAGGGCTGTTGTTGGCATTAGAGAAAAGCTGCGTGAAAGTAGCTTATCACCTGCATGAGCAAATCATGACTTGCATGCAAACCCTATAAGCTTAAACTCCTTTAAAAAGGTACGTTTTGAATATGATTTTTGTAAAAAGCTGTTGAATGTGTCTGTTACCACTTTCAGTTGCTGATATGTAGCTGAGCTGTGAGTTCATAAAGTCCTTCCTGAACTGTAAAATAGACAGCTATGATTTGTTTTAAAAATATTACCACTGCAGCTTCCTAGTTGCACATTAATTCAAAAAGACTTCCTGAGGTGTTCAAGGAACTTTAAAAGTGGCATACTGTCTGGTAAATTTGGAGGGAATAAAATACCGTCTACCAAACTCCTGCCTAAGAAGGATATGCTGATAGACTGGAGGGATAACTGTAACAGTTAATGCTAAAGGACCAGTACTCCAAGTGACTAGTATCAATCCCAGATGAGTCCTACTACTCCTACTGTTTGAGGCTGTGAGAGACAGAGCATATATAAAGGAACTTAGCCTGAGCCCAGCCCATGGGGAAGTAGAAGATGGTAAAGACCAGTTCAGTTTTTCTGAATACTGTAAACAAATTAACCACTTAAGGAAAATATATAGGCAACTTTTTTTAGAATGAGAAGGTTTGGCTCCCCAGAATGCTCAAAAATGTCATTCAGTAGTAGGTGTAAGTTTTAAGGATATGATTGAAGTATGGGGATGATAGGAAACTAATGCAGAGATCGGTCAGAAAAACAGAAATATGAGGCAATACTAACAAAACCAGAAACATGAGGCAACACTAACAACCAACCTAGCACCAAGGATAGGAAGCAGGAAGTTTTAATTGTATTTCACAGCATTATCTAATTATCCTTGGAGGGCTGAGACTCAGGAGCACTGTTACAAAGCAGCAGTTACCTGTTACCTACCAGAGGCCCATATTACCTCATACATCCTTCTAGCAGTGTAACTTCTGTGTTTGCTCCTTCTCTGAGTCCTAGCAGACACAGAACAAAGACAGCTTCATACTGGTCGCTTGTTCAACTTCAGCTGCAACCTAATAGCTGATGTTAGTACGTAAATTAGCCATCACTAATCTGGCTCCCAGAACTGGAGAACCATCATCAAATGGCTTGATTCTGAACTAAAAATACTAGAAGAATCTGTATGGACTGGTTTTGAAATACATTGTTACAAAAACATCACATTTGTGCGTGTGGGTGTGTGGATGGTTTTTGTTTTATCTACTATTGTATGAAGTCTAAGCATTAAATATGTTAGGAACTTCCTAATTTGTAAAGGTGGATATTCGGGCATAATGGGTTTCTGTAAAAAAAAAAAACTGCATGCAAGCTAAGCTTTAATTTATACTGATCTACTGTAATGAGCTACATTGAAAGATAAATGCTTTATCCTTAAAACTTAGGCCTCTCTAACTTGCTAGTCATTTGAATTGCAAGAAGTAATATTCCACCTCAAAGGCTTGTAATAACTAGTACTAACTAAATGAGCTGAATTAATTCTAGTGGTGGTTCCAGAAGAACTATATACCCCAATATGCACCCCCGTTATGCTTTCTTGAGGAGGTGTAATATAAAGCTGTGATACTCAGCTGTAATTCAACTGAAGAAACCTGCTTTTGAGACAAATTACAGCAGTTACTAAATCCCTTACTAGTACAAAGTTATTACAATGCCTAGGCTAACAAAAGAGTTAACAAAATTTACTTTAATTTACCATAATACACATCAATGAACAATCTTACATGAACTACATCATACTCTGTGAACATTTATAACTGCTAATATGTCAGTAGACTAAATTTTGAAACTGAAAATCTTGAAGTTTGCAGCTTGTGAAAAATGCTTCTATTTGTACAATGTATCTAAAGGCCTAAAGTTACTGCTTCAAACCTGGGTAATGCATTTTTCATTAATTCTGCCCACTGTTACAATTTGTCATTATAAAAAGTGAAACAATTGAAACTCTTCAGTGCTATTGAAAGTGAGTATTCATCAGTTAAAGACTGGACAGACAGTAAATGGTTTGAGGTCCATATTGTGTTCCCCCCCCTCCCCAAGTAATAAATTTACTAAGATACTTATTTATAACATTATCAGACACAAGATTAGAACAATCCAGGAAAGCATTTAATAGAAACTTTAAAACATTTAAATATTAACATATTTCTCTATGGCTAATGCCTATACTTGTATCATGTTACTTAGGTACAAGTTGTTTCTCCATTGAGCCATCAGAATAACATGGACTGAAGAGACTTGCGAACAGCTGCCATCTCCTGCTGTTGCTGTTACAAGAAAGGGAGATAATACTGAACAAATGCCATATCAATATGATTCCTTTGAGCCAATTAAAAGAATGTCAAATGACTTTTTTATAGAATGTTCTATTTTTGCATTTAACTAACTTTTTCATAGATCTGGTACTTACAGTGTCCATCATAATCTTCTTCTGCAACATAGTCATTTCTTTGCGGAGTTCATTTTGTACACCAGCTAGATGACTTTCATTGCTCTTCTCCAGCTCTTCCATGCTCTGAAGTTAAGGATAATCGTAACTCAGAACTCTTCAATGTCAAAGGGTTTATTTCAAACAAATAAACCACTATTCAGACTACTACAGTTCAATTTTTTACAGCTGCAGTGGTCACTGATAGTTGAGTAGTTTTGTCACGAACTTGACAGACAAATCATACATGACTTTGTATTCCCATCTGCGTTCCTGTTTAAATAATATGGGCCCTCAGCATCTGTGAGGTCTCAGCTAGTTATCCTGCATTTCAATAAAGAGTTCTACAAGAAAAGATTAAGCAGACATCTGTCAGGAATGATAGGGGTTCGGTATTAATACAACCTTGGAGACTTGAAGTAAGGACTGTAAAACCCATTAAATTTCCATCTCTACAGACTTATGCCCAAATAAGCCAAGTAAAGGTCATTGGTTATCTTTCCCTCTGTATGTACAATTATGCCTAACTCTGTGTATGTGTGTAGCTGCATTTTCCTTGACTTGTATTTAGTTAAGCTTATTTGAGGCTTGATTTCTGCCTTTTGATCTTCGTTGAAGAGAAGAAGCAAAGTAATACTTCTGTTCACTTTTTAATCTTTGATGAAGACATTTTTGACATTTTGGAAGTTATAATTTATTAATGTTTCTGTAATATCCTCTGTACACTTCAACTATCTTGAAGTAAGAGCTGCTCTATTTCAGATTTATTGTTATAAGCTACCTGACTTGAAAAAAACCCAGGCATATTTATCATAACTACAATTTCAAAAAGGGACCAGTTAGGAAATTACTTGAACAGAAATTAAAGTTTGTCAGAAACTGGCAGACTTGAACACTAGTATATACTGGAGTCCACCCATCTAGAAAGCAGCTTGGCAGAAAAGAACCTGGGGTTCCTGGAGGACACAGGTGAAGCCAGCAGTGTGCCTTTGCAGCAAAGGCAGCCAAAGAGCTCCTGGGCTGCATTAGGATGAGTGTTGTCAGCAGGCAAAGAGGGGTGATCTTTTGACTCCATTCAGCCCTGATGAGACCACATCTGGAGTGCTGGGTCCAGTTCTGGGATCTGACCAGAACCCAACAAAGGGCCATGGAGATGATTAAGGGACAGGAGCGTATCTCTTACAAGAGTAGACTGAGAGAGCCTGGAGAAGACAAGGTTCAGGGGGAATCTTACCTATATACAGAAGTACCTGAAGGGGTAGGGAGGATGTGCAAAAAATATTGAGCCAGGCTCGAGGTGCCCAGTGACAGCACCAGAGGCAATGGGCACAAACAGGAAACAGGAAGTTCCCACTGAACATCAGGAAACACTTTTTTACTGTGAGAGTGACAGAGCACTGAACAGGCTGCCCATACAGGCTGTGGAGTCTCCATCCTTGGAGATAACTCAAAAACTCTCTAGACATAAGTCCTGATATAAGTCCTGAACAAGCAACTCTAGGAAACCTGGCTGAACCACCTGTGGGCTGGAGCAGATGACATCCGGGTCTCTTCCAACTTCAGCCCTTCAGTGTTTCTATGGTGCTGTGCCTCTGCATTTGTTACAAAAACAAATTCAAAGCACTTTTGCTTTCCTCACAGTTTAGATTTCTAATAGCTTACTTAGAAAAACTAGGGGTGGAAGGAAGTTCTGGGAACAAAGTGTTTGGTTCTTAATGTAAAGTTACAAGGAAACTTTTTCTTGCAAAGAAGTCAAACTTTTTAGTAGTTATGTTTTTGGGTTTTGTTTTTTTGTTTTTTTTTTTTCTGTCTAGTATATTAGTTACTTTGTTAAAAAAAAAATAAATCACACTACAGTTGACTGGTATGAATCATATCTTTGAAATACATTATCTCTGTAAGCACTATCCAAAAAGAAACAAACAAAAGGTGTTTGTAGGGAATCCCAGCAAATACAAAAAATATGCATAAAGCAACAGGAAAGTTGGGCAAGTTTTGGGCAATCCATCCAGCTGGGCAAGTTTTCACCATAAAGCATTAATTTCATCAGATTCTTCCTGTTAACACTGTAGTGAATGCTTACCTTGAATACCAAGCTTACAGAAAGCGACAGCCTTTCTAATGAATCTTCCTTAGGAACAGATGAAGGGAGTTCTAACTGGTCAATTTTAAGGGAATTACAATTTAACGTAAGGGCCACCTTCTTACATGAAGCAGCAATAGCTAGAAAGGTTAATGACATAAAAAATTTGGTTTCTATTTCTCATGATGGGGGATACACCTGCCAGCAGTAATAAAAGCCAAATGAATTGCAGCCTAAGATGTATTTTTAGTAGATTGTCAAGTTTCACTGGTTTAAATATATACCAAAAAATCTAAGGGAATAATTAAGAAAAAAATCTTGATGATTTAACTGACCTACATAACCTTTCGACTGGTACAAAACCATATTCTGTTTAGAAAGTGTGCTCTGAGGGTTATGCTTAGATATTTGAAACAGGCAAGCCAATCAGAGCCCTGGTAGAACACATTTAAGTAAATTATGATGCAATGTTTATGCATGTATAGAGAGAACAAGCTATATTCATAGAAAATAAGGGAAAGATACTAACATGAATATTCAAGCAAGGCTATTATTTTCCTTAAATGAGCCTTAAATCTCTTAAATGTCATAAAGGCTGAACTCATACAGCTTTTTTAATTGATAATGATCAACTACCTTGTAAGAAGAAAACTTACCGTACCTTTAAGAACTGCTCATAGAGCTGCTTAATGGTTTTCAGCCTCTGACTTTGTACTATTCTTGCCTGTTGAAAAACTTTTTGTTGCTGACGAAGCATATTCTGAAGCAGAAGCAAAAGAAAAAACTGATGGCATTAGTTAGCCAAAAACGCTTGGACAGCAACACTAATGTAATTTATCAGAATCATAAATTATGTCTTCACTGGAAATGTGGGTCATGTAATAGAGATCTCTGCCTGAAGAGATATCCTTGTTCTTATTAATTAAAGAAAGACTGAAAACTGGATTAAGCCCTGAGTTACCTCCTGAGGTCCCTTCCAACCTGAATTATCCCTGTGAGACACTATAAGGATTGCTATCCAGCACAGTTCTCGAGGGTATCCCTGGGAAATGTGTTGACTAGAGAAAAGCAAAACTTGCCTGACGTTGCTGTATTTGTACTCCCAATGTTTGCAATTACATTCCATCGTAATAGCTCCTATCCCCTTTCAATGATCAAATTCTCATACATTTACTATATACAGGCATATTTTTAAGAAGTGCATGTGAAAACAACTATTCTCCTTTACTCATGTGTTCCCCAAACCCAAAGACTATGCATGCACAGGAACAGCATACAACTTTCTTCTCCATAAATAGTCTTGGCTTTTCTCAATCTATTCCTAGCCTAGGGCACCACTAGCCACCATTTATAAACTTGCAGTAAAGTTCATAAATGGCACCCCTCTTCACTTTCAAATACATCCCAAAACTTGTATGTACCCTGAGAGCCACCAAACTTTGAAGAATTTTTTTTATCAAGCGGCAAACAATCATATGGGTTTTTTTTAAAACCACATAAAGTGGTTTTACATTTCATGAGTGTCTGAACAACAGTATTCCCTCCTTGAGAAAATACCATGAAAGTCATATTGGAAACCCACCGCTAGTTTTTCTTCCTGCTCCTCTGCTTTCTGCACATCTACATCCCATTGCTGAAATAAAGTCAGGAACTGCTGGGAGAATTCATGATTGAGATTCTGCCTATAAACACAACCCGTAAGAATGACAAATGATACGAAGAATTGCAAGGGAAGCTAAGGGTCAACATACACACAGGGTAAAATAATAGGAGCTGGCATAGATTTTGTCAATGTAAGTTTCAAAAATATGTTTGTAAAAACACTAAGACAGTTACAAGTATTGCTGGCTTCCAGTTTTTAGTGGTCTCATTTTTCAGTTTGCTTCACCTCTAGTATCAGCTATAGTAATTAAATACACCTTTAGAGGCAAGAGGAATGTTATGTAGAGTGAAAATTATTTATAATGCAAAAATTAAAATTTTCCTTTGTTAAGCAGAATAGTATAAAAGTTTTACTGAACATTTCTCAGTTTTCAAGTTTAAACAAAAAAATTCCAAGTGAAGTGGAAATCAAAAAAGAACAACTATTGACCAGCAGGTTGAAGGAGGTGATCCTGCCCCTCTACTCTGCTCTCGTGAGACCTCACTTGGAGCGTTGTATACAGTTCTGGTGCCCTCAACATAAAAAGGACATGAAACTCTTGGAACAAGTCCAGAGGAGGGCCACGAGGATGATCAGGGGACTGGAGCACCTCCCATATGAAGACAGGCTGAGAAAGTTGGAGCTGTTCAGCCTGGAGAAGAGAAGGCTGTGTGGAGATCTCATAGCAGCCTTCCAGTACCTAAAAGGGCCCTATAGGGATGCTGGGGAGGGACTGTTCATTAGGGACTGTAGTGGTTGCACATGGGGTAACGGGTTCAAACTTAAGCAGGGGAAGTTCAGATTAGATACAAGGAAGAAGTTCTTTACTGTGAGGGTGGTGAGCACTGGAATGGGTTGCCCAAGGAAGTTGTGAATGGTCCATCCCTGGTGGTGTTCAAGGCCAGGCCAGACAGAGTCTTGGGCAACGTGGTTTAGTGGGAGTTTTCCCTGTGCATGGCAGGGGGGTTGGAACTAGATGATCTTAATAAGGTCCTTTCCAACCCTAAGTATTCTACGATTCTATGATTGTTTAAAGGACAAAAGTAACATCAAAGGCCATTTTCCATAAAAACAGAAATAAACCCAGCTCTTTAAAGCACCTTGCTCTCAAAATTCCAAATCTTAATTTTCCCTATACAAAGGAGAAAGCACTATGCAGTAATTGTCTATAATTACTGCCAGTTTAACCAAGTGAACACAACTGGAGGCAGCAGAAACAGAGGACCTGAGCAGATAGAATCACAGAATCATAGAATAGTTAGGGTTGGAAAGGACCTTAAGATTATCTAGTTCCAACCCCCTGCCATGGCCAGGGACACCTCACACTAAACCATATCACCCAAGGCCTCGTCCAACCTGGTCTTGAATGCTGCCAGGGATGGAGCATTCACAACCTCCCTGGGCAACCTATTCCAGTGCCTCACCACCCTAACAGGAAAGAATGTCCTCCTTGTATCCAGTCTAAACTTCCCCTGTTTAAGTTTGAACACGTTACCCCTTGTCCTATCACTACAGTCTCTAATGAAGAGTCCCTCCCCAGCATCCCTATAGGCCCCCTTCAGATGCTGGATGGCTGCTATGAGGTCTCCACGCAGCCTTTTCTTCTCCAGGCTGAACAGCCCCAACTTCCTCAGCCTGTCTTCATACGGGAGGTGCTCCCATCCCCTGATCATCCTCATGGCCCTTCTCTGGACTTCTTCCAACAGTTCCATGTCCTTTTTATGTTGAGGACACCAGAACTGCACACAATATTCCAGGTGAGGTCTCACGAGAGCAGAGTAGAGGGGCAGGATCACCTCCTTCGACCTGCTGGTCACACTCCTTTTGATGCAGCCCAGGATACGGTTGGCTTTCTGGGCTGCAAGCACACGCTGCCTGCTCATGTTCATTTTCTCATCGACCAGCACCCCCAAGTCTTTCTCCACAGGGCTGCTCTGAATCTCTTCTCTGCCCAACCTGTAGCTGTGCCCGGGATTGCTCTGACCCAGGTGTAGGACCTTGCACTTGGCATGGTTAAACTTCATGAGGTTGGCATCAGCCCACCTCACAAGCGTGTTGAGGTCCCTCTGGATGGCATTCCTTCCCTCCAGCGTATCAACCGAACCACACAGCTTGGTGTCATCAGCAAACTTGCTGAGGGCGCACTCAATCCCACTGTCCATGTCAGCGACGAAGATGTTAAACAAGACCGGTCCCAACACCAATCCCTGAGGGACACCACTCGTTACTGGTCTCCAGCCGGCCATTGAGCCATTGACCACAACTCTTTGGGTGCAGCCATCCAACCAGTTCTTTATCCACCGAGTAGTCCATCCATCAAATTGATGTCTCTCCAATTTAGAGACAAGGATGTCATGTGGGACAGTGTTGAACGCTTTACACAAGTCCAGGTAGATGACATCAGACTGACTGTAATTCCCCAGGTCATCCATTTTCTTGAAAATGGGGGTTATATTTCCCTTTTTCCAGTCATTGGGAACTTCACGTGACTGCCATGATTTCTCAAATATGATGTCCAGTGGCTTAGCAACTTCATCTGCCAGCTCCTTCAGGACCCGCGGATGGATCTCATCAGGACCCATGGACTTGTGCACGTTCAGATTTTTAAGATGGTCTCGAACCATCATCTCCTACAGTGGGCCCAAGGTCTTTATTCTCACAGTCCCTGCATCTGCCTTCCAAGACTTGGGTGGTTTGGTCAGAGCCTTTGCCAGTGAAGACTGAGGCAAAGATGTCATTCAGAACCTCAGTCTTCTCCAAATCCTGTGTAGCCAGTTCTCCCGAGAGCTTCCTGAGGGGACCTCCGTTCTCCCTTGTCTGTCTTTTATTTGCTACATACCTGTAGAATCCCTTCCTGTTATCCTTCATACCCCTAGCCAAGTTTAATTCTAACTGGGCTTTCCTAATCTGGTCCCTAGCTTCCCAGACAACATCCCTGTATTCTTCCCAGGCCGCCTGTCCTTGCTTCCACTTTTTCTAAGCCTCTTTTTTCATCTGAATTTTCCTCAGCAGCTCCTTATCCATCCAAGGTGGTCTCCTGGCCCTCCTGCTGCACTTCCTTCTAGTTGGGATGCAACACTCCTGAGCTTGTAGCAGGTGATCCTTGAGTATCAACCAACAGTCTTGGGGCCCCCCTGCCCTCTTAGGGCTATATCCCATGGAACCTTACTAAGCAGGTTCCTGAAGAGGCCAAAGTCTGCCCTTTTGAAGTCCAGGGCAGTGAGCTTGCTGCATGCTCTTCTCACTGTCCTGAGGATCATTTAACTAGCAGATACACTGTTTGCTATTTAATTGCAAGATGCACCAACTAGCCATGCTGTAACACAAAAGGGAACTTGATTTCACAGATTTGAAAAACAAGGGTGTTACCTTTGCTCCTGCTGTGTTTTCCAAACATGTTCAATCTTCTGGTTACTGGTTTTTAGTGAGGCTTTTGTATACATTTCTAATCTTTTCCTCTTAGCTAAGAGAGCCTTGTTAATGTCCGCTAAAAATGAAAGAATATTTATAGCTTCAGCCTACTGAGATAAATTGGGCCTTTTATCAAAAATGCTGATGAGAGCATTTGTTGATGAGAGCAAAGTTACACTTTGGAAAAGAGAACAAAGTGTGTTCTGATGCAAAGAAGCTAATGTAATCTGGGTGCTGCTGTGTTTTAGGTGTTCCTCGACCTGCTGTTGGCACTGGTGAAACTGCTGCTTCCCTTAGCCCCTTGTATGCGCTAACCAACACTTGGCCTTTGGAGTTGCAACTGCTCCTTACCCAGCCCCACCAACTACTTGAGCATCTGCTTCAAGTCCCACCTCTCTCAGGGGCCCCACCAATTAGAACCTATCATGCTGTGATTCAGCTTTTGCTTCTTTATTCTGAAGGTGCAGAGACTACTCTCTAGCTCATTCTGTATCACAACTACTGCCAAAATTCCTTGTCTAAAATGAAAACTATTTTTTGTATTTTGCTGCTTATATTGAAATTTACATGTTCCTTATTTCCCACTCATGTCTTGCAATCCCCAGTCCCTTTATGTTGTTTTAACAAAAAGATAAGAATTACAGTTCTTACTCACATTGTCCCTTTTCTCTACAATATAATCACTGCCTCTTAACTGTCACCTTAAAATTGGAATTGATAATCAAAAGCACTTTTTCCTTTGTAATTACCTACACTAGTATATCTCACTTTATATGTTGTTATTCCCACATTTTCTTTCTCTTTGCTCTACTTAGGTATAACTTTTTTTTTTTTTCCTGAAAACCAGCTTTTTTCAGAAATGCTGAAAAATGCTACGAAGTCTGGTCATTTGATGCAAATCTTGAAACTTATTTTATGGTAAGGAATTTGTGCCAGTTCTGCAACCTAAATATGAATCGGCTTTTAATTTATTGGAAGGTAAATGTACTTACCTCCAAATCTTTCCAGCATATTCTGCACTTCACCCCTACAAAACAGTGTTTAAAATTTTTATTGGCCCATTTTCTGACTTTAGAATAAGACATGCTTTATATGCTTAAAACTCGTTTTATTCCCATGCCTATTACTCGTAAGCGGTGAAAGGGCTGCTACTGGAAAATGGAACTCCTTTTCTTCTCCTGCAAGAGGTCTCTTTTTTAGACCAATCTGATTTAAAAAAAATGAATTACTAATCTATTAACCTACTCTCTTGTAAAAAGGCAGTATTAGGTATTTCAAGTGTCTTGAGTAAAGGAGGACGGTAAATAAAATAGAGCATTCTCTACACGAAAAGTATTTGGAACATCAAATGAAAACAAGTCCATCATAGTTATCATGACTGGCATAGTAAGAAAAATCCAAGACAAATAATAACAGGGTTGTTTCTACAACATCTTTAAGATGATGATTCTATGATTCTATGACACCAGTGTGTAAGACACTGGTACAATAGCTGACAAGTCCAAAAAGGGACATGGTGGGTAAAGAAAATGTTTATCTTTGTTTTATATCATCTTCTCCACAGGATGTTGCTTCTTTTTTACTCTTCAAAAAGGAAAAAAAGGGATCTTGAATTCAACAGCTATAACCTTGCTAAAAAATATTTCAACATACACTTTTTTTACATTACTGCCCATAAATATTGCATTTCATAAGATTTATCTGTAAATAGAATGTATTTTTCATGCAATAGTTGGATTAAAGTACTGTTAGTATGTTCTGACAACTAAGATCGAGGGGGAGAAAATTAATGAAATTATCAGCAATCTCAGATAAAACTTAAAATCATCTTCTGAAAGAAACAAGAATTTTAAGAATTCTCATATAATTTATGCATGTCCAAAAGTGTCTACAAAGAAACTGCAAAATTACTCATTTTAAAGTACTCCTTTTCTTTTTAACCTACATCTACTGTGTTATCTGTAACCTGATTTTTGAATCAAATACCACAAAGGATACAATGAATAACTGAAATTGGTACCTATTTAAGACTTGCATATTTTGAAATAAAAAAACAAACAAACAAATCCTAATAATCCTTACCCTACATCATCTGGAACCACATGAGTAGTCACCAAAGGTCTTTTCTTTCCATGCTTGTCCATTACTGGTGTTTCACCTTAATACAGATTTTAAAAAGATTTACAAAAATATCTTATATTTTCTTGAGGTTATTTGAATTATTAAAAGTGTAGTTACTTTTCTGTAATGCCACTTCTATGAATGTCTCATGGATCTCAGTTGCCATCCATAACACATGCAGCTCCTAAAATTTGAATGTGGATTTGACATGGTGGTGAATTATTCTGCAATGCTAGATTTGAGCCAGCACTGCCTTGAGTTTCTCTGGGCTGATCCCAACCAGTTGCAGTTTCTTTGTCCACAACTACACAATTATTCCCAACTCACAATGTAACAATCATCAGAAAGGTAAAATAATCTAAAAATTGAAAAAGACTTACCTGGAAGAATTTCATGGTACTGTAAAATATGCACTGAGATTCTGTAGTCTGACATTTTAAAAAAATTAAAATCACAAACAGATATAAAAAAAACATATAAAAAAAGAAGGTAACTTCTTTCAAAAAAAAAAAAAAATCCTTTGCTGTCAGATTTCTGTTAATGACTTGGTAAACATTTAGTCTGAATGAAGGAAGAAGGGGAGAAACTGTGAGAAACAAACAGAGATAACTGCTGAAAGACAAAAAATCCAGAAACAGTTACATCAAATTTTACAAAAACCTATCATGTGATGAGCGAGAACGTTTTAAGAAAAAGCCATCTTTTTCATATGAAACTTCCTCAAAACTCAACAAGAATCTGTTGATTTTTTTTTCCCTCAGCTTTATATGCTCTTTCTTCAGCTCAGATTCTTCATGAAGTACTCTTAACCCTGCCAGCATTATGACTCCAACTACCATACCCAACTCAGCACTCCGTAGAAGCGGAGCTCTTCAGTCCTCACCTCACAATGCTCTAGGCAGCCAGGTGATAGAAGGATATGGCATTAAAATAAGGTAATAAAATCACGTAACAAAATCCTACTCTTAAAGACTCCACCTGTAATTTCAAGACATTAATAGTGCAATAGACAGAGCTACTCTACTTTGTTCTCTTCAAAATTCTATTAAAACTACATACTAGAAGGTCAATTGGCAATAGGTTCATAATAAACATGAACCATGCTTACACAAGCACTTGCTAACACAGAAGTCTCTTCATTCATAGTCAGAAATACTATGAACTTCAAATTCAAAAAAAATACTAAAAAATTACATAAACACCTTTTCTAATATCTTCCTCTGATCCACTCAGCTCTTTTCTTTCCTCCTGAAAGTCATAGGCAGGTATGGCTTGATCTTCCTGTGCTGGTTTACTAGCTTTTCCTCCATGCTTTCTTCCTGATGGAGCCATAATAAGGTTTTCTTCCTACCAAAGCAGTATGTTGTATTTGTTAACTTTCCCCATAATATAAATTATGTTTCCATGCTTATGTTGCCTGTTATAGACACCCTTGTAAACAGTTTTCACCTGTAAGGACCCTCAAGCAGTCAAAATGCTTTAGTTTCAAGGTAATCCAAAGGATTACCCATCAGTAGTGGTGTTAAGAATAAATACCAGGGCTAGTAGGCACATACTTGATTCTGCTGAAAAACAAGGAAGTAAATTATGTACATTCTTATGTCTGTGTGTCTCTGTGCTCCTAAACAAAGTGCAACTTTAAAGTGCATTCGTATATTTTATCTGACATAGTTTCCTTTGTACTGAAAATCAATATACAAAGCAGAACTTCTGAGCCCCCCCATAGGCTGTAAAAGAACTTGCTGCCTCACAACCCCACATATCCTTCACCTATCCTGTGTAGCTACCTGCTTTAACCAAGTATCTTCAATCTACAGTTGTGTACTTAACAACTACTTTTCAGAGAAACTGACCTCCTCTTTTTCACCCTGCCTAGAGATGTAAAATAAGCCAACATTTGTGTGCATTTCCTGTGTGGGGCTTTTCACCATGGGGCCCACCTGTTCCTACCTCAGGGCAGGAAGGGACACAAGCCTGCATCACACCACACCAGGTTTGGGGGGGAAGCCACTGTGGTGTGCTAACCTTATTCCTTACTCTCCACCCAAACACCTTCCATCCCCTGCACTGGCCCCTTCTTCACTTTCACCCCACACAGCACTCATCACAGCCGCTGCTTCCGCACAAGGAGGGGACCCCACCGGCGGCAGGGAGAGCGAGCACCCAAACCCCTCACCCTGGCTCTTATAGAACTTCTCGCTTTCCTTGTGCTCCCGCGCCCTTCCCGGTGACAGAGACGGCCGGGAATGGCAGGGAGCACTGCCACCTCAGCAGCCCCCTTCCCTGAGGAAACGGCGGGAAAGCGTACGGCCCGCACAACAGGGCTCGAGTGCATGCGCACTAACAACACACCCCCAACCGGTGCCCTCAGGAGCGGTATCTGCGGTCTGGGCCAGGCACGGCGTGCAGGTTCAGCGTTAACATCACCTACCTTTATCTGATTTCATTCTTTATTAATAGAAATGGCTTTAATTTATAGTAAAAGAAAAAGAAAGCCCGCAAAATAAGTTGTTCTAGTGTATGTAGGCCAGGAGGTGATGCAAAAGGAGAACTTTTCCCTAAAGTCAGTGCAAACCAGCAGTATTTCTCAAGGCAGATCAATTTCACAAACTACATGTTTTATTATTTCAGTTGTTGAGTTGCTTTGGTTGGGGGGTGGGGGGTGAGGGGGTGGTGGTGTTTGTTTTGGTTGGAGTTTTTTGTTTGTTTGGGTTGGTTCTGTTTTTTCCAGCTTTTTCTACTGTCCTCACAGGAGTTTCTGTCCTCAGCCACTTAAAGTATTTTACTCTTCACTTACAAAGACAAACTACAAAACCTAAATAAAACAAAATCCTAACACTGTTTCAGTTTTCAGTGTTCTCATTAGCCTCAACCATCTGAGAACTTCTCCTTTGTATTTCCTTAACCAAGTTTACATTTTCACTGGGTCTAGCTGGGGTGGAGTTAGCTTTCCTGAAGTACTGTAGATCTAAACTACTTATATTCTACATTTCAGCATAATATGTATTGCTAGCAAGAAATAACCTTACTAATTATAAGTGCCTGCATTTTTACAATGCTGAAAAGTTCGGCTATACTTTGAGAATTCACTCGTGCTTCAGATTAATATTAAACTATTACTGTTGGAAGATTTTTAAGGGAAAAAAGCTTTTAACATAATGATTCATAAGCTAATTTATCGAAATAGGTGACTTTTGGTTTACTTTAAACCAGAAACAACAGACAAAACTTTTATCACATTTTAGTTCATTTCAAAGCAAACCAAGTATCTTACAATACATATGCACACGTTTTGTACATCATCTGATTACAAAAAATAATGTTTTTTTCTTTGCTGCTAAAACAAATAGCTGAAGATACACCAAAAATTTCTGCTTGAAAAGATTCAGTATCCCTTCCCACATAAAACTGCACTATTCTGATGTCTCAGCAAAATAGAGGGCCGAACCCTGTTAAATTAAAAACACCAAAGCTTCGTATGTTAGTACAAATATTGTTTTGTGAAGTGAAACACTGCTCCCATACATTGCTACATTGAAACAATTCATTACCCATTCATATAGAGGCACTTTTGTTTTTATATTTACAATGTTTGTAAAATGCTATACCTTGATCATTTTCATTTGATTACAACCCTCCCTTTGTAATCAAGCCAAGAAAAAACACCACGGTATTCTTTGGAATACAATACACCAGATATAAAGTATCTTTCAAATAACCATTACTTGTTCTGTTACTGTGTAAATTTTTATTAGCATATATTTCTTCCAATACCCAATTAAATACTACAAATAGGGGGATGAATTATCACACTGTGCTTTAAAGAATGTCAACATTAATAAATGTATACTAAATCTAAATGAGTTACATAAACTTCAATTTTCCCTTAGGGCTAAAAAAAAGCAGCATCGACAGAAACTTGCAAAAAGATTTGGAATGCAAGATCAAGGACCTGTTAAGCTGATCCCAAACAACTACCTCCCAACATTTCCTCTAGTTGGCAACATCCACTGCAATAAATGCAGTTAAATTTCTTTAGGTAACCCTTTTTATAAAAAAGGATAAAATGGCCATGAACTACCAGTTGTAAAGTAAGATCTGTTGAAAACTTCCTAAGTACAGGTTTCCTGCAATTATTTGTTTTCATCATTTTGCATTGTCAACAGCTCCAGCAGCCTGTATATCATGAAGAGTACTGCAGAGATTCTAACTGCAGAGGCATGATTTTTTTTCTTCATCTCAACGTAGTTAAATATCAAACCATAAAAGACACTTATGAGAGATCTTAAATGCTTATCACATTTTGAGGTAGACTGATCTCCAAAATAAAGCTCTTCTATACTTTGATTTGTTCATGACCAACTTCCTTTTGGATCCTTCTCCTTGGAAATATCTTTCTTTTAAGTGCAATTAGCTGATGAGAGAAAACAAAAAATACAGTAATTACTTTTCTGCTGGGCTAGAGGTGCACAGTCGATCAGGCTTTCATCCTAAAAATCTACAAAATCTGTACCATCCATGGTCATTAGGACAACACTGCACAAAAAGTTATTTATTCCATTTCATCTATTAGGCGTGTCCATTTCCAATGGAATTCTCAATAACCAGAATACAAGCAGAAAGTAAGTAATACAGTATGCCTATATTCTGGTTATTTAAAAGATAATTTGTGTATTTATATTAACACCAGGCTATATTCAGTTTCTAAAAGATAAACATGAAGCTGGCACCTTAAGCATTATTTATACACCTAGCTGTACTACAAAGTTGAGGACCCCCTTCCAAAACCAAGTTACTAACAGAGGATGAGTTTTCTAATATATAGAAAAGGCTGAAAAATCAAGAGAAAGATTCATGCAAAAGTTACAGGTGGGAAAAAAATAATTAAAAGCCAACCTTTCAAGATTTACACCCTCTTCATCAGACCACGGAAAGTGTTACTTAAGGCCCCAACCTGCAAAGAATTACCCATACAATTTGTTCCATTGTGTCCCTCTTAGTTCAGCAGGATTAATCATGTTCAAGAAAGCCATTTTATGCTTGCAGAAGTGGAGCATCTTTTTCCTTTGTGTCAGATTCATAACCTTTTGAATTCAACTGAAGTCTTTGCAATTACTTAGGGATGAAATAGATAAGGCCTCTAGATACCTTAAGATTCTCTTCAGGACTAGAGTATAGTTGTTACTTAAATGTCCTTCCCATTAACTTACTTTGAACCTTTACCAATATGTTTGTTAACAGACCAAGAATTTAAAAAACAATTACGGATTCTGAGCATCCAAATTTGGCACACTGATGATGGTCCTGACAGCCACAAGGCACCTGAAAAGGGAATACTGCTTTCCTTCCCCCCATGTGACTCTTTTCAAGGAATTTCAACATGATGACTTAAAGCAACCTAATCATTAGTCATGTAACATTGTTGCTTCCTATGAAGGTAAAATCCTAGATACTCTTCAAAACCCATTTAAAAAAAATATTTTATATTCTGAAGATAACACCAATTTATTAAGTGCTACAGATTTGATAAGGTATTAATTTTACCTGTTCAGCAAAAAATGAGATGACTGTAAATACAATAAGTGTTACTAGAACACAATGGGTCCAGAATTTGAGCTTGTCTCTATACGCCCTCCTGCACAAAGAAAGAGGGAAACAGAAAAACAGGTTCATATATTTTAAATACAAATATATAAATTTTAAAGAGTTTTCATGAGATGGGCTGAAAGGGTGGCTAGAAGAGGACGGAGGCTCTGTTTTCACAGAGCCACATGGAGAGAACAAGGGGCAACAAGTACAATTTGACTGGGAGAGGTTTCATCTTGATATAATTATTTTTACAGTGAGAACAATTCCCAGGGACATTGCGGAATTCTCATCACTAGAGGTTTTCGCAACATGGCTGCACAGGGTACTAGATAATCTCATCTAGGCTCACTTTCCCACAAAATGGCCAGATGATCTTTTGAGATCCCTTCTGACCTGAGCTCTTTCATGACTCTAAAATGTTTTGATAAACATGGATTTCCACCAGCACTTGAGCATGCTTTAACCCATGCTAGTAGGAATCTTTGGCTATGAACAAACAAAGTGTCTTTTTGAAGCTAACAAAGTCTCAATGGATGTCCTCAGAGAGCCAACAATATGTCTGCTCTTCTGGCACAAATTTCTAGAGATTAACTGCTGAAATGGGTTTGCTTCCCACTTGTTCTGCCATTGCTACAGCTTGTAGCACTACAATCCATACCTCTTCTTGTCACCTACAGTCATTCTGATTCTTTGTATGGTTCATCTCTCTCTCTCTCCTAACATTCATTTCTCATAATTTGCTGATCAGCAACAAGATTACTAGTCTTCTTGTCTCATTTTTTACTCTACCTGATAACCTTTTCTTGTATTCTCAAATCAACTGCCCCTGAAGTTTCTGAAATTATTGTTTATAAAATGGCAAGTGGTAAACACAAAATTTTCACACATTATGTAAAAATGAGACACATGTATCTTTTCTGATGATTATCCACCTGATCACTGCTGACAGATTAAAAAAAAAAAACCCAAAACAACCCTTAATGAGAAACTGAACAGTTTATATTGCTCCTGTGCAACAGGCATTCCAAACAGTGGGGGTTTAAAGAAATCCAGAATTCCTGAATTACTTAAAATTATAGCCACCCATACAAACAACTTTTTCTTGAAGTGGGTTAGAGTCAATCAATGAAAAGCTAATGACTAATGACTTCACGAGCACCAGAAAAACCCAAATCCTTTCAATCTCAAATTGTGGTCCATTCAAATCTCATCACATTATTTTCACCTTTAACTCCTTCATGAAAACACTGGGGGGGAAGGAGGGAGGAAAATTGCTTGTACTGATATGTTCTATAATTCTATGGTACCACACTACAGTAACTTGAAGAGAACCTGTGTAACATACCATTCTTGGAGTTCATGCATGTGAAGGAAACGATTCCGATATTCTCTTGGCAATTCAAATTGGGAAGGTATAGGAAACATTGATTCATAAAAATCCCTAAGCACTGCTTTCACTGTTTGAGCATCCTTATGATTGTGATCAA